TAAAAATTACCCATAACATTACTCAGTTTGGTCTAGTTCAGAAGCTTCCAAGACTTATCGGCAGAACTATTTCCTCAAATGAAATTTTACAGGAAATCCTAATATCACAACCATATACAACAGCAAGTGGCCCAGCAGGATGGGAGGCCTGGAGACTGTCTCTGTGCGTCTCACTCCTCATTTTACAAACCTCTGGATTCAACATTTTATCTAAGCAAGACCTTCCGGACTTTCCAATGCTAGAAATAAAGAGCTTTGATGAGATCTGAAATTGTAAAAAGCCTATTCTTCCCTCCTCCTGGAGTCTTTTCCTCTTGATATCCCTTTATTATGAAGACATTTTATTTTATAATTTTTTTAGCCAGAAAGTTACCCAACCTTTAAAGGAAGGAAGGAAGGAAGGATTAGTCATTTGGTTTGAACAGGAATTCCCAAACTTTTTTCACTGTGCCCATAAAACCGTGTATCCAGAAGCCTCTGCAACCAAGTGGGGGGCTTGTCCCAGGGGCTCCCCTCTCCCCCATCTCTTCCGTCCCCTTCTCCACCACCCACCACAGCCAGGATTAGCCTCCAGAAGCCAGTATGAGAGAGGGTCAGCCCTACCTCTCAGCCTCAGGATGCTGTGGTACTCACTGTGTCCTGGCAGCCACCTATAATCTGTAGCCAGTCGAATCTGGATTTAGATCCCAGACCTACCGCTCATTAGCTGGTTGAATTTGGACAAGTTACCTAACCTTCCGAACCTCGGTTTCTGCATCTGTAGCTTGGAGACGGTGCTCTCTCCATTGCTGGCTTGCACTAAAGGTGATATAAGTAAACATCTAGCAAGTAGAAGGATCTCAATTAATGGGGGCAATTATTATTAGACACCAAGGAGAATCTGTTAAATGTTCCTCAGTATCTGCTCACCCCTTCTTCCTTTTTGTAATAGAAATGCCAAAGGATTACCTGGGTGCCTGGCCACCCAAGCAGAGGCCCCATTTCTCAGCCTTCCCTGCAGCCAACGCGGTCACGTAGCTAGTTCTGGCCAGTGGAATGTGAATGGACATGATGTGCCTAACTTCTGAGTCGTGCCCTAGAAAGGATGCTGCCCTCCCCTCCCTCTTGCCTTTCCATCCTCCCACTGGCTGGGGAGATGGAGGGTCCTGGGCCAGCTGCCCTGGAAACAGGAAAGGAAGCTACCTGTTGAGGATAGAAGAGCCTCCACACCACCCCTGGATCACTGACCTCAGAAGAAATAATTGTTCTTTCTAGGACAGTGTATCTTTGGACCTCTTTGCTACATCAACTTGGATGAACCATGAAAGAGTTTAAAGTTGTAGGTTCTTTGGTTGGCCTAAAAATTAAATTGACATAAAACAGAATAACAGGAGAAAAACAAATTTAATTTTGTACATGCGGGAGCCCCCATAAAGATACGAGACTCCAATGCAGTCAGGCGTTTGAGGCTTCTATACCATCCTAAGCTAAGGAATGGGATAGGGGCCTGGGGCTCCAGAGGGGAGCAGGGCCGTTCACAGGAAGATGAGAAGAGCAAACGTTTGGCATCAGATGTTTGCCCTGCCATGCAGGTAAGTCTCTCTGATTTTTTTGGTAAGTTTTCTCCGGTAATAGCTCTCTTTCTGGTACAACACCCCTATCTAAATTCTTTTAGGCAGTTAAGGGAGAGGTAAAAATCTTTTCCTAAGCTTGCTGCTTCTTGATTGTTTTCACCTCAAAATAACCCACATGCCAAAGGGGCACATTTTGGTTTTGGGGTGGCATGTTCTGCTCCCCTTCAAAGTGTATGCTCAGGAGTCTTAGTATTCCCTCTTTAACACCAGTTCATAGAGCCCTTGCCTGTAGTGTCAATTCTTAGGTCTCTCTCTCTCCTGCCCCAAAAAAGACCCCCAAAGGCCTGGGCCCAGAGAACCGCAGGGATGGCTGGACTCCAGCCTCATCTTCCTGCTCTGTAGGGTCCCACAGGGGCTGGGAGCCCTGCCACCTCTCTGCTCCTCTCCCTGCGCCGTGGCTTCACTGTGCCCAGGGGCGTGGCCCAGGTGGGACCCTTTGTCAGTGACACTTGAGTCCTAACCTTCTGGTGAAGGCAATCTACTCTGTCAGACAGTTAAATACGAGGGTCCTCTGATAACTGTTCCCCTGACGGTTGAATTGGCAACGAAGGGCACAGCACTGACTCCTGGCGGCCCTGACCCGCTGTTTCCCCCAGTCAGTGGGGAGAGAGCAGGGGAGGAAAGCACCCTTCTTCCTTACAGTTCAAATCTGTGTATTGGGAGTCTGGGACCACTAGTCCTTCCTAAACTGGCACTCCCCAGTTCAGGACTTGTTGATAAAAACTGGTTTAAAAAGCACAGGTCAAGCCCAGGCCCAGGTAGGGCCTCCTATGTCCCGTGGTGATCTAATCTTGAGAGTCCACACTCAGGTCCACCTGTGTGGTGGGTTGGCAGGTCTGATTCATCCTGGATGAAACTAGAATCTTTTTTTTTTAAATTTTTATTTATTTTATTTATTTATTTTTGGCTGCATTGGGTCTTCGTTGCTGTGTGCGGGCTTCCTCTAGTTGCGGCGAGCGGGGGCTACTCCTCGGTGTGGTTCGCCAGCTTATTGAAGTGACTTCTCTTGTTGTAGAGCACGGACTGTAAGTGTGCAGGCTTCAGTAGTTGTGGGGCGGGTGCATGGGCTTAGTTGCTCTGCGGCATGTGGGATCTTCCTGCACCAGGGCTCAAACCCATGTCCCCTGCCTTGGCAGGCGGATTCTTAACCACTGCGCCACGAGGGAAGTCCTGAAACTAACATCATTTTAAAATGCAGGGACCCAGGGACTGGGTCACACAGCCAAGGCAGGGAAACGGGTTCGAGCCCTGATCCGGGAAGATCCCACATGCTGCAGAGCAACTAAGCCCATGCACCACATCTACTGAGCCTGCGCTCTAGAGCCCGCGAGCCACAGCTACTGAGCCCGCGAGCCACAACTACTGAGGCCTGTGCACTTACAGTCCGTGCTCCGCCACTGCAACGAGAAGCCCGCGCACCGCACCGAGGAGTAGCCCCACTTGCTGCAACTAGAGAAAGCTTGCACACAGCAACGAAGACCCAACGCAGCCAAAAATTAATTAATTAATTTTTAAAAACCCCACAGTGACAGTGAGCCAGTGTTCTAGAGAAAGGCACCCAATAAATTCCTGACTCTGACTGCTCAGATTCACTGCGGAAAGGGAAGTGGGCTGGAATGTCCTCATCAACACTGTCCACATGGAGGGTGAGCTGGGTCTCTTTGGGCCAAGGCTGAAAAACCAGAATGGAGAAAGAAAGAGTCCCCCCAACACCGTCCAGCCTGCTTCTGCAAAGCTGCTGGGGGCTTCTGCCTTCACCTAGTCCTCCCGAGGCTACCTGGCCTGGGGCTTCTGGAGCCTTTAGCAGGATTCCAGCTCAGAGTTTTCTGATTGGCAGCTTGCTTTTCAGAGTCTTTAATCTTTATATTTTTCAAAACCATTTTAAGCAACCTGGTAAAGTCCATTTAAAAAAAATAATAATAAATGGAAAAATTTTCCCCACCATTGAGTTCCCAGTCACTGCGGCTGTCCTGGGTACTTCTGTCCTCCCTCCCCCAGGCTCTCTCTGCTCACCTCATGTGCTAGGCAGATAAGGAGTTTTAATGCTTTTTGTTTTGTTTTGTTTTCCTGAAGATCTTCCCTGGCACTTTGACAGACCTCTGGTGCCCTGTGAGATAACAGAATATATATATATATATATATATATATAAGAACAGTAGGAGTATCTCTTGTTCAAATATTTGGTCTTCGACCCTGGTTCCTGGGACTGAGCTTCTAGATCCCTTGGAATTTCCTGGATGATGGGAGTTTCTTTTGTTCTAATGAGGCCACTCTGGGTGGGCTTGTGGATGGGAGCTGGTCACCAGAAAGACCAGCCATGATTAGAAGCTTGGAATATTCAGCCCCATCCCCCATTCTCCAGAGAGGGCAGACGGGCTGGAAATGGAGTTAATAATTGATTTTGCCTGCGTGAGGAGACCTTCCCCAAACCCCAAACAGTATGGCATTTGGAGAGTTTCCCGGTTGGTAAACACAAGTGCGGGGAGAGTGGTGCACCCGGAGAGGGCACGGAAGCTCCACACCCCTCCACGCACACTTCGCCCCATACATCTCCTCCAGCTGGGTGTTCATCTGTATCCTTTATCATATCCCTTTGTCATAAACTGGTAAACTTTTCCTGAGCTCTGTGGGCCACTCAAGCAAATTAATCAAACCTGAGGAGGGGGTCATGGGAGCCCCCTGTTTACAGCTCATCAGTCAGAAGCACAGGTAATAACCTGGACTTGGGATCAGCATGGGGGAAGCAGGGGGGCCATCCTGTGGGACAGCACCCTTAACCTGTGAGACTTTACCCTTTCTCCAGGTGGATAGTGTCAGAACTGAGTAAAATCGTAGAATACAGAATTGTCTGGGGGGGGGAACCCACACATTTGGTGGCCAGAAGTGGCAGTGAAATGTTCTGTGTGAGGTGTAAAGGAGAAACAGAGGCAGGAAAGACTGAGTTTCTCAAATGCATACCCAGAGAAGGCTGGAACTGAGGGGACCCCCCTAAGCATCTCCTGCAGCCCCATCAGTGTATAACAGCTCAGGACTCTGGCTGCCAGATCACCCAGACAGCAGCCAGGCCTCCCTCCTAGGGTGCAGCCACCTAGAACCAGCCTCTCTGTTCCTCACTGCCATTCAAACTTTCCAGGCGCAGTGAGCATCCGGGCCCCCTGCTTCTTAAATGCCCTGAGTGCCCAAAAATCCATTTTACTTGGAGGCTTGGGCACAATGATCCATCCCTGGGATAAAGGGATTTGTCCTTTTGACACCAAAGATATACAAAATGATAGCGAAACTAGTCACTGCCAGTGTTACACTGGCACCCACAGCAACTTCCCTGTGTTGGAAGATTTCCAAAGAATAGGGGGCAGAGGCCCTTGGTCACGACAGGAAGAGGTAGGGCGCAGGGGTACTGTGACATCCTCCAGGGAAGGGCAGCTTTTCCCTTGGCCATCGGAGGCCCCGGCCCAGAGGGGCAAGAGAGCCGGACCGGACATGGAGCCCGGGGCCCAGCCCTCCAGGGCCCCGGGGGACGGGAAGGCCGAGCCGCAGCAACAGGCCCTCGCTCAGTCCATCGAGGGCCACGGCCAGGTAGTGCTGCTGCGCGAGCTCTGGAAGCAGGACGAGTGCTGTGTGACGCTGCAGAACATTCTGGAGCAGGGCCCGACCGATCAGCCCTCTCGGCCCTCATCCATCCGAGCCACGAGCGGCCACAGCAGCTCCAGCATCTGAGCGAGGCGGAGGCTCAAGCGCTCCGGAGACAGTTCGCGGAGGTGCGCCGATTGCCCGGCCGCCAAGTCCAAGCGCTGCACGCAGAAGCAGCCCTGCGACCGGCGCAAGGCTGGGGACTCGCAAGAGCGCAAGCGTGAGGCGGCTCGGGCTGCGGCTCCGGCTCCGGGCTGGCGGAAGACGCGGCGTCGGGCTGCCGAGACCCTAGGCAGCCGCCGGCGGCGCCCTCGCCCCGCGCGCGGCTGCTCCTGGTGTCGCGCCGCGCGTCCGCGCTGCGCTCTCAGCTGCCGCGGCTGCAGCTGCTCCTGCAGCAGGTGCGCGACCAGGGCCGCCGCCCGCCCGCCGCGCTCGTCGGGATCGTCGTGCAGCCCCGGCGCGACGAGGCAGCCGAGGCGCGCCGCCGCATGGAGACCCTGCTCTGCAGCGCCTTCGCCCCGCACAGCGCCTCCGTGGAGGTGCACACGGCCGTGTTCTGCCCCAGCCGCCCCGAGGGCACCCTGGACCTCCAGCTGGCCGCCAGCCGAGCGCACAAGGGCGCGTCGCCGGGCTGCGTCCCCCTAGTGGATCGGGCGACCCAGACGGATGGTGAGGGGCCCGAGGGCGGGGGCCCGGAACGCCAGTTGCCACGAGCGTCCCCGGGTGGGACACTTCTAATACAGAGGGAGTTCCCTGACCCTGCTGGTCCCAAGTAGTAGACAAATCCCCCGTGTCACAGTCCCTCTCCTAACGCCTCCACGTGACTCCGTTTTGGGTAAATATGAACTAGATTTCTCGCCCCAGGTGTCTCGCTGGGGTAATCTCGGGTCAAAAATGTTCGAATTCACTTCATGTGTGGTTAAACCTCCCACCAATCCACCCGACTCCCTTCCGCCTTGCCCACTGCTCCCAAACAAGCTTTTCTAAGGTCCAGATTCGGGAGTTTGTAGTTCCCAGCCCCATCCCCTCCTCTCCACGTCCACTATTCCTTGCTTGTTTCCTTAGTCTCCTCCAAGGAATCGCAACTACCATAAAAAACATGCCTATGGTGAGCCAGGCACTGTCCTAAGGGCTTTTCACGACTAATCCTCACAACCCTCTAAGGAAGGCGCTGTGTTGGAGTAGCCCCGGTCCCCCGCGCGCCTCGCCCCCAATGCAGGATTCTTAGCCACAGCCCTTGAAACCCTTCCTATCGAGGAATCCAGGCCTGTGGCCCCAGCGGGTTAATCTGTCGGTCTGAGGGCCCTGGGCCACCGGCCAGCTCCTAAATGAGCACCAAGTGCCTCTGCTGCCCAGAGCCCTTCCAGGGGCAACAGTTGGGAAGAAGGAAGTGCTCTGGGCTCCGTAGTCCACAGCCCGCTCCCGGGAGGCTCTGATGCCCTTCTGCTGGTGACCAGAGCACGTTGTCTCCTCCGCCGATTAGCTGTCCTTCTGACACGTGGGGGTGAAGGGTCAGTTGCTGTCTGTGGTGCCATCCAGATCTAAGATGCTAGTTTCAGGACAAACGGTGACTGCTTGTTCTGGGTGCCCAAGATGCATCCAGAGGGCGAGAACTACCAGGGACCCTCTGGTCAGGCCCGCATCCTGACTACCTGACTTTGAGCCCCTTAGACTCGTTCTTCTCTCTCTCCTAAATAGTCCACGAGGTCTTCCCATGGCTGGCTTTCCTGCTTCAGAAAGCCCCTTGCCTGGGGGCTGTTCCAACCATGATCCTCAGGCAAGTCCAGAAAATCCCAGGCCATCTTTGCAAACAAGCCGTTCGTGATGCAGCTCCAAGGTGCCTTGTCCCCCCTCGGCCACACCCAGCCTGCCTTCAACGATTCCCCGTGTTCCTTGGCCTCCCACCGTCACCTTCAAGCAGACTGCATTGAGCCCCTTCTCTGGACTTTGGCCCTAGAGAAGACGAGGATAGAAATCATTCTAACCCCACGTAGGTTGTGATCTGGGGCCCAGAGAGGGAGAGATTGCTTCCAGTTGGGGACCTACAGAAAGGCTTTTTATGAGGAGATGGGTCCACTTGAGGTGAATCTTGATGATGGGAAGTGTTCTGACAGAGAGGGAGAGGGGCTTGATGGAGGGGAAAGGGCTTCCACAAGTGCAGGAAAGTGAGGCGTGTTCACCAGACCTCTGGTGCTCACGGTCGGCTGGAGCTGGACACGGTAGCAGCAAGGTGGCCGATAAGCCTGGGACAGTGCGCCGTGACTGTGTTATAGAGGTGTCAGGCTTCCGGGCTTGAAACGTGTGCTCAAGCCAGAAGGCAGAGGGGAAGATATTTTAGCTAAAACTATTGCAGCGCCATTCTTCCTCATCCTTCTGGGACAACCTCTCACTCCACAAGTGCCGTCTCTCTGCTTCTTGGGATCACGCTTGCTATCTTCTCCACTGTCATGGAAAAACTCCCCACTCCTCCTGAAGCCTGACCCTCTGTGTTTCCTTCATCGCTCTCCTGGGGAACAAGGATTTGTTATCTGTGTCCTGTTTGGCTCCTTGGTGTGAAATGGAATGTTTCTTTCATTGCTACCAGGAAATCCTACCCATATATGTCTGCCCCTCTCTAATTCATTTAAACCAGTGGTTCTCAACCTGGGACAATTTCTCTCTCTCTCTCTGTCTCTCACACACACACACACACACACACACACACACAAGCACACAACATCCTGGGGACATTTAGCAATGTCAGTAGACATTTTGGATTGTCCCAACTTCGGGGGAGGGATCTTTGCTACTGTCATCTAGTGGGCAGAGGCCAGGGATGCTACTAAACCAATTCCAGTGAAGGACGGCCTCACAAGGAAGAATTATCTGACCCAAAATGTCAATAGGGCTGAGGTTGAGAAACCCTGGTTTAAACGAGGTTGTGGCCCTCGGTCAACCTGGTGTGGCCGTTGGTGCCTGAAAATCGAATTTTGCAGACATAAATGCCTTAGGAGTTCCTGACCTGTCTGCTAAATCTGGACAGTGTTCCTGACTGAGGTTTCCAGTCTCTCTGATTCAAAACTGAATCCCCCGCCGAGGGATCCATTGCTCTCAACTTCAGGGAATTACCACCTTCTTGTAGACTCACTTGTTCCGTGAACATCCACACGCCAAGGGTCAACCAAATTCAATCCACCTTCTTTGGTCTGAGCTTCCTTTCCTTTCTAATCCTTCATGCCTTTGTTTTCTTCAGTCCTATCGAGGGGTTTTAAAATTCATCAATTTTAAGGCCTGTATCATTATCTGACCCCCTATTGCCTTCTGGAGTCATGAAATGAAAGAGCCCCGAATGGGACTTTAGCCTTGTCGATGCCTCCAACCAGCTGTGTGACCTTGGGAAGGTAATTTAACTTCTCTGAACCTCAGTTTCTCTTCTGCAAAAAAGAATCATTAAGGTCTTTTCAGGCTCTATAATCCTTAAAATACGTCCTGTCCATTTTATGTCTCATGTCAGGTCTGGCCTTATGTGAGGGCTCCTCCTAGGTAGGTCTGCCCTAAACCGTATGCTGGGGCAAGCGTATGAGTCCCCAGATTCCAGGGGTTCAGTCGAAACCTCACCCACCTAGTGGTGCATTAATGGTGGAGGCGGAGTCTCCTAATGTGAACACGTTCTACATTGCAGTCAAAGTGTGAAGTTTAAGGTTGTCTTTTTAAAGTGCTCTTTCCTAAAATGAAAATTACATTGTTAACTTCGAGGAAGAGTCACAGTCCCCTAATTGGCAGGACAAGTTGGGAGTTTGAGAGGTGGTCTGCCAGCTGTCAGTGTAGTGAGTTTCAGAAGTTTAGTTTTCCAAACAGCTGTTGTGTTTTTAGGGGAAATTCTTTTGCCAATTGCGATGGTTCTTATCAAAGTTGGGGAAACCCCCCCAGCCCTTTCCCATAGCGGGGAGGGCAGGCTTTGGGAGAAGGGGGAAGCCGCTCCGTATAGGATAATCTGGGGTGGGGGAGACAACTGACATAGCAGAAGGCTGCGGGCCTTCCACGGACCCCCAGATCTTTAGTTACCTAAAACTCACAAAATGCATGGTGAAGTTGTTTGTTTGTCCGTTTGTTTGCTTTGGGGGGGTATGTGAAAACCAGTGACAGAGCGAGCATCACAGCCAGGGTGTGTTAAAGAGGAACAGCATACAGGGACCCAGGAACACACCAGCAAGCAGATGCCTGAAGGAGGCGCTCGGGGGACAGAATCGTGGGCGTCCAAGTTTCCACGGGCCCCGAGGCCAGCGTTCGCCAGGTGCCCAGGTCCGTGAGGGGCGCGGCAGCTGCTCTCCACCCATCCGCAGGAGCCGAGGAGGAGGGAGGACAGCAGGCTGGTGTCGGCAGAGAAGACTGTCCCCAGCACCCTGCCGTGGGAGCCACCCTGGCTTTTGTGACCTCACAGGAGGGGTGTGGGTGACCCTTTCCTGTGGGCCCTGGGCTCAGACGGACGCCAGAGCCTCCCCGCAGGGCAGGGGCACACGGCCCCTCGGGGAGGGAGTCAGGAGATTAGGCAGATCCACGTAGGTGCACGTTTAGGTGAGGAGGACCCACCATGAAGAAGGGCAAGGGGCAGAAGTCGAAGGCCAGGCGCCGAGGCTCCGCCTCCCAGCACGCCAGCTCCGAAGGCACCGGATCCAGCCCGCAGCCGCCCAGCCCCCCGCCCACCCCGCCGCCGCCCAGCTCTGGAGTCACCTCACAGCCCAGCAGTGAATCCATCCCCCCGCAGCCCGTGCCCCAGGCTCTCCCATCTCCCGAAGTCAGCCGCTGGGCTCGGGGCGTCGTGTCTCCGGACACTGGCACGAAAGCATCCCCTCGATCCAGCAAAACAGGTGGGCAGCCTGCCTGCCCGAGTGGTTCTAGCCTTCCTGCTGATGGAGTCCCAGGGCTGCCCCAGGGGCTGGTACTTTTCTTACTGGGTAGTGATGCATGGTTAACGTGTGTTCTGGAACGGTGCGTGGGGAGTGCGAGGGGGTTGGGTTTTTTTTTTACCCAGGAGACCAGGATTCCTGGGTGTTGTCATTCCTCACCATACTGAGTCTCCCTGAAGACAGCCTCACAAACATATTAACATTCAGCGTGGCTCGGTGGTAATCCTAGCTCGCTGGGTGTCAGAAGTACCACGTGGCTGCTAGAAAATAACCACACCAAGGCTGCATTAGTACAAGAATACAGTTAAGGACAAGGGAGGTGGTCATACCGCTTTACTCTGTCCTCATCAGGCCACTTGTGTGCTGTAAAAGATGCCCAGCGATCTAGTCCAAGGAAGATAGTCCAGGTTGGGGGGATGAGAAGGGTGGGGGGGAGGCAAGAACCTTCTGGTGTATGAGAGCCGGTTGAGGGAATTGGAGGATATGTCTGTCAGCTGGAAGATGTGAGTAGATTTGTTCCATGTTGTCCTCAGATGTCTGACTAAGGGTCCCTGGATAGGGTTGCCAGATAAAATACAGGCCACCCAGTCAAATTTGAATCTCAGATAAGCAACACATAATTTTTTAGTATAATAAGTGTGTTATGAATATTGCACGGACGTCCTGTATTTTTATTTGCTAAATCTGGTGACCTACCCTTGGAAAACACTGGAGAAGGCAGATTTCTGCTCAGCGTTAAAAAAAAATCCAACAGTTAGCTCTCTCTGAAAATGGAACGGCTGTCCAATGGAAAGCGGTCCCCCATCTTCTTGGGTAGCCAGGGTCCAAATGAGCATTGGAGCGTGTCGAGGGAACTCACACAGGCAAAATCAATTATTACCTCTCCACGTTCCTCTGGGACCCACAGCCCAGGACAGCAATGGGAGGTGAGCTTGGGGAAGTATTTCAAAGACTGTCCACTGGAGTAGCAGTTGTCTTCTGGTTGAATCCGAGAGCCCCAGAGAAATGGAACGGGGCCGCTCCGGTTGCAGGAATCTCAGTGCCACTTCTCCTAGGATGGACAGTCACCTGCTGCCGTCCCTTCCTGTGAATTCCACGGAAAGAGCACAGAATTGAGTTAGAAATCCTGCGTCGAAGCCCACTTCTTCCATCTCCTTGCTATCAGAGCACGTCTCTTCTATTCTTTGAGCCTCGGTTTCCGTATCTGTACGCTGAGAATAACCATATTCCTGTTCACAGGATTGTTCTGATTGAATGAGATGGATAATGCCGTACAGAACACTGTACAGGTGTCAGCTGTTACATCGGTGTTCTTCGTATTATTCCCAGGTAGCACCAGTCTAGAAGACAACTAGTTCCCCATGCAGTTGGTCCTCTCTCCTCTGCACACGCCACTCCTGGTGTGGACACCTCCCGCAGGCAGTGGGCCCCTCACCTCTCTCCTTCTCTGTCCAGCAGGGTCTGTGACGCGAGCGGGCCCGTGTGCCTTCTGTTCCTGTTCTGCTTGTCCTGGCAGCTCTGCTTGCTGGCATCGTCTGGGCCTGTGCCATAGCCGCATCTTCGATGTCCTTCTGCCTCGGGCCTGGCCGACCATGCCGGGGAGAGGATTCCCAAACCTCCTCACCTTCTACAGGTCCTAGGGCGCGTGGGGGGGCTGGGCCCTCGGGGCACACAGTGTATTAGCAGTCGTGTGTAACTTCTTCCTCTCGGGACTCCCAGGCCCAAAGGAAATCCACGTCCTGGGGGTTGGCACCCGGGCCTTTCTGACTAGCCCCAGGCCCAGGTACCCCACCTTCATGGAGAGGTGACGACTTTCTTCCTTACCGGGCATGGCTTCTTTGGGGTTCATTTTTCGTCGCTCCATAGGCAGCCTCCTTGCTCACAGCACACTCCCCCGCAGTCCGTCCTAAAGTCCCTGTAGCTCCTTCCGCAGCCTGAGCCATAGCCCAACGCTTCCGGCTCCTGACCCGCACATGAGCGCCCCCTGGAATTTAGAGATAAATACGGATGTAAATCACACAACCCTTGGTGCCAGGAAGACCTCTACCCCCTTCAGCGGGTCTCGGGCTGTTCCTGGCAGCCCCACAGGGGTCTGTCCGTGACCCGGAGGCCCACACAGCATCGCCTGCAGCATCTGCCCTTCTTTTCCTCTCCCACGAAGCCACCAGGTGGCCGCCACTTCCTCTCATGGGAAGATCCCTGTTGAGGGAACTGGACTGAAGATGTCCCTCACCTGTTCCGGTGGCGCAGGGCTACGCGCAAGGGCTGGAGAGGGGCCTCCGCCTACCCCCAGCTCTGGGCCCCAGGGCAGCTCCGCTTATACTCAGGTCTCACAAATGTCCACAGAAGAGGCCTTCCGCCTGGGCATCTCCCAGCCCAGAAGCTGAGCCGACCCGTCCTCCATCCCCATCCGGCTCCTCTTCCCAGCCCCTGCCCCACCAAACCCGCTCTCTTGTATGTTCGTGAAAAGCACCATCTCTCAGGCATATGAAGAGAGGCAAACAGATACCCAGGTGTGTTGGGAGAATATGCCAGAGCTAAAACTACTGTACTGCCTGGTAAGTCCCGTCAAGGAAGGGCCTGCCCCCCACCCACCATGATCAGCTGTCCTTCCACACACTTAGTGCTTCTGTCCATTTAGTGCCAAATTGTGCCATGGATTCATAAACCAACAAGTAGGAAAACCGACTCTGCATAAGGATACTAGGCACTGGGAGGGAAACCAAAACAGGGAACTTTACCCTTAAAAAGTGTGCAGTCCACATGGTAAGCTAAGATATGTACATTTAGAAACTAATGTGCAGGCCAGGAAGTGATACGTGTCCTATAGGAGATGTTCAAAGAGCTTCACTCCTGAGCTGGGGTCCAGGTAGACGTTGTAGTATCAGTTGTAACTGAGCTGAATCTAAAAGGATTTTAGGATCCTCTATGGCCTATTTTAAAGGGAGAGCTTTCCAGGAGGAGGAAAAGGCACAAGGCAAGGCTCAGAAATAGGAAAGTGACGGGGAGGGGCAGATTCCAGTCTGGCCGGGATGCAGTCCTAATTCTGCTCAAGTTTCACCTGCTTCCATAATCTTTACATTTCTCTGTGGAGTGGAATGTTGACTCTGGGCTTTAAGTACACATTCACATTAGATAAGAATCTACTTTAGTAGGATTTTTGTCCAAATGGATATTGCATCTTGTGAAAGCCTTCCTCACAATTATTAGCATAATCATATACTTTGCTTTTCCACCACCTTTGTGGTAGGTGTAGTATGTGGTTTCCTCAGATGCCTCAACCCCAGAATAGAGCTACATGGTAGGACTACTTCACAGGATGGCTGTGAAGCTTGAGGAGGACACTGGATGTGAGGTGTTTAGCACAGGGCCTGGCACACGGCAGCCTTGACTACCTTTGTCACCTTCTCTCTGAGGGTCCAGGGGAGCTGGCATCCCAGGCCAGCCCATCCTCGGATCCTGGGGGGTCCTGTGGTAGAGCTTTATTGGGAGGGGTGCAGGGAGTTGTGTTCCTTTGAGAGGAGGAGCCATAGGGGGAGATGGACATTCCTGTGATCCTGAGGGACCCCACAATTTCCACTTTCCCCTGCATATAGACAGGCACTAAATCCCAGCTGCCCACCAACCTGTGGGCTTTCTGCTTTGCTTTGCAGAAGACCTGCAAGTAAACATTCCACTCATCGTAATTTGCGTGCTCCGAGCCCTTGGGACTGTTGCTGTGGCTCTGGGAGCCCTGGGAGCTGCCTACTACATCACTGAATCCTTGTGAACAAGTCTCCAGGCCTGCGGCCCAGCAGGTATGTGGACCCCCTTCGTGCCCACGGCCCTTTGCAGAGTGATCCTGAAGCCCACTAACTCACCATTCCTGCAGCCCAGGGCTGATGGAATGTCTGTCTCTTCTCTGAATGGAGGAGGTCTCTAGAGGTGGGCGAAACCCCCAGCCTCTCAGGGGAATCTTGAGAACTGAGTGACTTGTTTCTGGCCTCAGGGTCCACTGGCACATCTCTCTCAGGCAGCCCTGGACACTCGTGGACAATGCTAGACCCATTGTGGGATCTTCAAAACAGAGTTTCCCACCTCTCCTCTGGCCTGGGGTTGGTTCCCCTAGTCGTGGACACCAGATAGGAGGAGATGGGAGACGCGGGGGCAGAGGGTCCTATGCATCTCAGAGCCTTTCCTCCCAACTTTCTCCCTGCCTGTCACACCATTTCCAGCCCTACCTACCCTTTGTGAACTTCATGTTCCGTGGAGCCTTTCTGCCGTCTTCGTTATTACTGTTTTCTCCAGCCTATTCCAGCCCACACTGCAGACGATTTTTATGTACATATGCGGCCTGTCTCCACGCTGTATTGCAAGATCCTTGAGGGCAGGGAGCATGCCTTCCACAACATCTTCAACCCTCCCCTGTCTCAGGCTGGGCTCCCTAGAAGCAGAGCCTGAGACAGGGATTCGGGTGCACAGGATTTAGTGGAGGAAAAAAAGTGAGGGAGGCAAGAGAGGGAGGGGAAGGAGTGGAGCAAGGACAAGGTCTCAGCGGAAGTCCACTTAGCCCAGTCCTGGGGAGCTCTGGAGGGTGAATTACAACCAGAGTTGGTCTCACCGTGAGCCCAGAGGGTTGGCCTTTCATGCCCGTCTGTGAGTCAGTCATTGGCTACAGGGTGAGGTGGGGAGTGCATGTCTTTGTGAAAAAGCGGCTCCCATTTGGGTGAGGACAAGTCCCTGAGGAAGGAGACAGCTCTGAGCCTTTAGCAGCCAACATTCATAATTCACAGGAGCTGGGCGATGGATGTGCCAGCCCAGAAAGGGGATCTGGGCGGGTACCAAGAGCACCCCCAATTGTCCCCATTGTCAAGTCCACATGCGGTGAATGCCTAACAAGTGGTGATGGGGGTGGGGCAGGGGGTAATGGGAGCATTTCAATCCACCCCAGGCCTCCAGCAGCCACAGCAGTGTGTGTGGTGGGAATAGAGGCTCAAGGTAACTCAGAAGCCCAGCCCGGAAAATAAACTCCAGTGAGAGCTCACCATCTCCTCAAGGGCTCTGCTGCCTGATCCTGGGACATTCATGAAAGAGCAGAGAAGCACCTTAAGCTTCACAAAATTCCACAGCAGTTGAAATCCTCAGTTTCCTCATCTGTACATAGGGAAGATCTTGAGATCGTTGGGAATATGAGACGAGTATGAGACCAGGTGCTTGGAGGGCAGAGAGCTGGCCAGCTGGGGGAGTCTTGTTACTGTTATCATCATGGAGGTGGCAGTTGTTGGATAGACGCTGGTTTTGGAGTTGGAGCCGTAGGTGCTAGCCTTGACTCTGCTGCCTGGTGGCTGGGTGTTCGGGGCCACGTTACTTGACTTCTGTGAGGGTCAGTAGCATCTCTAAAGTGGGGAGAATAACAGCTACCTCCAAGGTCAATGGTTGTGAGGATCAAGCTAGGGGATGCGCAGCCCTGCAGGGCCTGGTCACGGGTTGGGTAGATGGTGGCGACTGGCAGTGTGAAGATGGCGCCCAATCTCAAGCGTTTTGGCTTAGAGTCTCCTTCCAGCAGAGCCCACTGGTGTGAGCTTGGGTTCCAGAGGCAGGAAGCCTTGGGATCAGATCCCCCTTCAACACCCAGTATCTCTGGGGCCTGGGCAACTCCCTTAACTCCTGATGCCTTGTTTTCTTGTTAAATGGAGATAATAATGCTGCAGCTCTCACTTGGGGTGGGGGGGAACTGGATAAAAAAAATGCACGTGAAACACTTAGCATAGGGCCTGGCACAGAACAGGCACTCAACATAGCAGCGACATCACCATCATTATGTTTTAACTCAGTATTCCCCAAACTTTATTGACCTTTGAAATCTGGAATATTACTCTTTTTAATATATTTTTTGAAGTATTATTAACCTACAATACTGTGTGAGTTACATTGCACAACATAGTGATTCGATATTTCTATACATTACAAAATGATCCCCACAAACACTAGTTTTATTAAAACTAGTAAACTAGAAGTCAAAATATAGTCAAGCTATGTTTTGGGATCGATCACTTATTTTCTTTAAATTAGCTTCCTTTTTAACTTAAATGCATTTCTTTTCAAACTGGCCATAAATGGAAAATCCTATCCTTTGCCATAAAGAAGACTCACAATAGGGCTTCCCTGGTGGCGCAGTGGTTGGGAGTCCGCCTGCCGATGCAGGGGACGCGGGTTTGTGCCCCGGTCCCGGAGGATCCCACATGCCGCGGAGCGGCTGGGCCCGTGAGCCATGGCCGCTGGGCCTGCGCGTCCGGAGTCTGTGCTCCGCAACGGGAGAGGCCACAGACAGTGAGAGGCCCGCGTACCGCAAAAAAAAAAAAAAAAAAAAAAAAGACACAGTAAATATAAATACCATAAAAACGAAATGTCATGGAATTCTGGCTGATAGGGTGCCTGAAAAAGTCTCAGCTTTGACGTCAGTGCCCTGTGTGTTCAAAGATATTTGACAAGTGTTGGATGTTAACACTAGCCAGCTCCACGCTAAGACCCTCTTTAACCAGAGGGTTGAAAGATAAGGGGAATGGGCCGTGATTCCACATTATTGAACTCGGTGTCCAGTGCCACCCGAAGTGTCTCAGTGTCCACGAGGGAGGGGTGCGTGTCTCACCCACACTGTAGTTCACACAGCCCTGAGCCCTGGGGGGTGGGAGGAGAGAGTGGCGGAGGAGGGGAAGTGAAGGAGGCAAGGGGTGGCGGGGGGCGGGGGGGGGGGGGAGGACTGGAATGGAAACCTGCCCTGGGCATGGTGTAGGTCATTTCCCCGCGAATAACTGAGAGTCTGCAAAGTTAAAGAGGCTCCGCAGAGACTGAATCCAGTCTTCACTCCATCCCCCAAAGCTGTGTGTGTGTTGCCAGCGGGGGTGGGGGGGCCTGTTTTGGGGCCCTGGCGTCACTGACATCACTTACAAACCACGCAGTGTGCAGACTTCACGCAGCTCTGCTTCTGCTCTGAGGGATGATTCCTCTGTCTCCCTAGGGCAGGCCCCTTTCCTGATGCAGGGTTAGGATAGGCGGGTCCTCCCAGGGACAGACCCTCTCTCTTCTGTCCCATGGCGCCTTGTTTCCCTGGAGAAGAGGGAGACTATGCCAGCACCCCTGCCCCATGCAGTGGCCTGAAACAGGGTCCTTCCCAAGCCCCAGAGCCCGTGCCTGGTGATTCTGAGGAGGTGGCTTTTCCTCATGTGACCCTCTGCTTTTGTCAAATTGCTCCTCTGGAGACTGTTCTGGAAGCAGCGTTGGGATCAGTGCTAATAGGCATTCGGGTGCTTAAGATGTGCAGGCCCCCGCTTCTTCCAGACGTGCCAGGGCCAGGCTGCAGTGTCACCTCCCATGTCATTCAGTGGATGCTGTGGGCCTGAGGGTCTGATGAAGACACACCACCAGCAGGGGTCAGGGAAGCATCTTCTGGAAGCCCAGAAGTTTTAGCCGCCGTTCCTAGACACTGGTCGCCATGGTATTTCCCACCCCGGCTCCCCAGTGTCCCCCACATACCCCCCTGTGTAGCTATGGAAGTGGGTCACCTCGGCTGTCACGCATCAGTACCAATCATGTGCCCAGCACCACGCTAGGTGCTGTGAGACGTGACGACACAGTGGTGAGTGGATGGCCAAGTCCAACAACAGACCCAGGCTAGGGGGCTTCCCTGGTGGCGCAGCGGTTGAGAGTCCGCCTGCCGATGCAGAAAACACGGGTTCGTGCCCCGGTCCGGGAAGATCCCACATGCCACGGAGCGGCGGGGCCCGTGAGCCATGGCCGCTGAGCCTGCGCATCCGGAGCCTGTGCTCCGCAACGGGAGAGGCCACAACAGTGAGAGGCCCGCGTACCGCAAAAAAAACAAAAAAACAAAAAAACAGACCCAGGCTAGGCTTCAGACTTTGAGGTCTAGTAAAGTCTGTGGATCTAAGCCAGCCAAGGCTCCCAGGCAAAGGGAGCAGAGGTGATAACTCAGATGTAGACATCTGACATCCAAGCTAGAAGGTGGCAGAGTCCAGATGGGAGAGAGTGTTTGATAATTAAATAATGCATTCATTCATTAAATATTTCTTGGGCACCTACCTTGTACCAGGACAGGAAGGAGCCCTTCCTTGGGAGCCTCCATTCTAGTGGACACAGACAAGTCAGTGAATAAACAGGATCACTTGATTTGGTGGTAAATTTTATCAAGGAAATAAAAATATAAAGTTGGTCTGATAAAGAGCGGGGGGTGGGGTTGACCAGGAGGGGCCGCTGCTGGAGCCAGGCTGGTCTGCAAAGGCCTCTCTGAACTGAGGCACATGTAGCAGAAGGAGGCAGACTGTGCAAATCTGGGGGAAGAGTGTTCTTGCAGCAGGAACAGCAAACCCAGTAGCCCCGAGGCAGGAAGGACTCTTAACATGTTTGGGGGCCATCCTGGCGCCAGTATGGCTAGAGTTGGGGGGTCAGGATGCCACTTTTGGGGAGACCAAGGTCAGGCAGGCCGTTGGAGCTTCCATTGTATTCTAGAGGTGGTGGGCAGCCCCTGAAGCAGAGCAATAGCAAGTCCTTACACAGGCACGCTTCTGGGTGTTTTACATTTATTAACTCATTCATCCTCCCCTCATAGGGGAGTATCTCAAGCTGCTGGTTTAGATTTCAAAACAATCACAGTGCCTGCTGGGTAGAAAATGGGAAGGGGCGGGGGGGGGGGGGGCGGGGAAGGACCAGGTAGGACTCACTTGCACTGGTCCAGGCAGGCGAAGATGGTGCTTGGACCAGGGTGATGGCTGTGGAGGGGAACGTGAACAGCTATACTACGGGGGTTGCACCAGCAAGTCTGGCTGAGAGACTGGATGAAATAATGAGGAAAAGAGAAGCCTCAAGGATGACTCCAAGTTTGGGGTGTCATTGCCAGAGGATCAACGTGTAAGAGGGGACAAAAATCAAGAGTTCTGTTTTGTTGTTAATTTTGAGATGTTGGACAACCAAGTGGAGATGTCAGGTAGGTAGGGGCATAGAGGGAGCTCACAGGAAAGGCCAGGTCTTAGTTGTAAACGTAAGAGTCATTAGCAATATCTGACATAGGGAGAGAGCATGGATAGAGCAGAGGGCCAGGAATCAAGCCAACACTGAGAAGTCTGATAGTAAAGGAAGGTGTCTGCAGAGAAGACACCTGCTCCGGGTCTTCTCTGGGTCTAGGTGAGCACATGGGATCCCAGGAGGTTTCCAGAGGTAAGGAGAACAGGTAGGCTCAGGTCAAAAAGTGTCCACAGGTAGGGAAAGGCAACAGAGATGTATCTCAGTGGAAGGAGCTGGTGAGCTGTGACCTCTGATCATAAGGACCCAGCAGCTCCTTTCTGCTTGTTCTCCTGTTCCCTGAACGTGGACAGGCAGGCCTGTGTTTCCCCATCCTGGCACCAGGACCCATCCCCATTTGTACGGTGAACAGAGGGAGGACCCCGGACCAGCACCCAGGTTCAGGTCTCATGGCCTCTTGACTAGATGGGCCAACCCTGGTGCTCACTGAGGTCCCCCTTCCCAGGCATCCTGTATGTTCAGCCACGGCTCTCTATGCAGACCCTTTCAAGTGCAAAAGGTTTTCACTGCTTCAAGAGAAAAATTCCTTAGCTTGACAGTTGAATGAAACTCACCTACCTCCCATGGTTAAGGTTCTTCCCAGTAAACACTGGGAAGCGTTCTACCAATGGCATCGCTCTGATGTCTCTCTTTTTAATTCAGTTGTAAAATGAAAGGGTGAATTGGTAGGTTTCCAAATGCCACAAGGCACTTTAAGACTTGATTTACAAGTGGATTATGAGTTAGATTACTTGGTGCTGCAAATTTCAGCAAACCTAATTCAAAATTATAGTAAGGAGATTATCTCACATAACAAAACAGTCAGGAAGTGTCAGGGCTGGCGAACTCAACAGTGTCATCAGAGACCTGGGGACTTTTCCAACTTCCGGCTCTGACACCCTCAGCGAAGGGCGCACTAGTTCCCCTCCTGGGCAGATGGCTGGAGGAGCCCCAGAATTATATCCTCACACCCTGACAACCAGAAGCAGGGAAAATGCCACCTCCTTCTTGTGTCTCTTCTTGAGTTAAGAAAAACTTCCCAGGATCCCCCTCCCCTGGTATACTTGGCTCCTCATTGCGGTGACATGCCTCTGAATTGGGTCTCATGCTCCTTCTTTTTTTTCTTAATATTTATTTATTTTCCTGCGCCAGGTCTTAGTTGTGGCGCATGGGATCTTCATTGCAGCATGCAGGATCTTTAGTTGTGGCGTGTGGGAACTTAGCTGTGGCGTGCATGCGGGATCTAGTTCCCTGACCAGGGGCCGAACCCGGGCCCCCTTCATTGGGAGCACTGAGTCTTAACCGCTGGACCACCAGGGACATCCCTCATGCCCCTTCTTAAGCAAATTAATAGCATGGAGGGGGTGAATTTTCATGACTGGATTAGACCAATCTAGATCTGCTCCCACACCCTGCCCCTACGGACAAGGGTGGCCAAAGGAGGGGAGCAACAATGCTCCCAAATGGGGCCCCCGCCAGGAAGGCAGGTGTGTGAGTGGATTTGGGGGGAGCAGCCAGCAGCACCCACTACAACAGGGAAGTGTGTTTTAAGATATGGTAGCCTGTGATATGCAGGAGGAACTTCAAAGCAGACCTGTTGGCCTGGGACCTCTCTGGCTTTAGCCCCTGAAAGCCACCCTGAGGGTGCTGTGAGTCAGGGTGCACGCGTGTGTTGGTGGTAGGGGGAGGGCTGAGTTTGTAGACTCAGCTCTTAGACCGTCTGGGAGGGAACAAGCAGTTTGGTGTCCTTCTCAGTCCAGAGCATGAAGAACCATCTGACGACACTGGCAGAGCCTCCTCTCCAGGGAAACATGTTTCTAGAATTTTCTTCCCAAAAGCTTGGAGAGCCTCTCTCTCTGCATCCCACCAATGAATGATGCGGCACTAAAATCAAGGGGCTGCTTCCCCTCTCCTTTTGGGCACTGAATGTAGTAAAACTCACCACGGTGGCCTGGCGTTTGGGAAGCGAGAGGCTCCGTCTTAGCTGCTGGGATCCCTGGGGGAAGGGAGAGGAAGCAGAAGGCACCCAGTTCATGCCAGGCACTTTGCAAAAGCTTGTTACAGCCTGAAGGGAAAAAACAAAGTCTTTGAGAGGCCGAGTTCGGACAAAAGGAA